AAAGAGTCCCTAGCACACTTCACTGAGAAGGTCCTCTTCCAGACCCACAAATCTCACCTCTGGCTTCCTAGCTGACCTTAGCTGAAGTAAAGCATGGAGAGCAGTGCCTCTCATATCCACGGCTTAACTCTATCAGGCTCCTTGCATATAAACAATCCTTTTAAATTGCACCCAGAGACAAAGTGGGAGTCTGTGCAATGTGAAGAAGATTTGAGAAAAATATGATGCTTCCTGCGTCAGTCGCCAGTATGTTGTCAGACAGCTGCATCTTGCAACAGCTGAGTTCTCGGGCAGGTCTTCCCATGCAGAATGAATCTAATCTGTGACTGACAGATATTGAGTAATGGGTGGCCTTCTACATCTAATCGGAAAGAGGCGCTTTCGGCATTGTTAGAAGCAGCTGGGAGCCAGGCAGTGACGGTGAGTTTTGAACTCCTGTCCATTGCATACTGAAGCTATGTACATTTAACTCCTTTTAATCTTTCCTTTTAAGTCAGTCCCTGAATTTAGTTCTGGTTGTTCCTCTCAGATGTCCGTTCTGAAAAGGAGTAGACCATGTCAGTGATTAGGTCTTGACGTCTTTTGGTTCAGAAACTGATAAAAGCAGAGTAAGATGTTCATTTCTTTCTCTCTTTCAGAGCATCTGGTCAGGGGCCCATGTTGTGATCAAGGCTATGAATTTGTAACTGCTCTGGCAGCCAGTGTTTTGGGTCTGTTTAACTTGTTGGGGGGCCCTTTTAGAATAGCTGGCATTATTTGCATGTATGCGCAAGTATTATTCTATGCAAATACTTGGCTCTGAAAACAATGGCTGTGCCTCTGCCAAAGCACTGCTGTCTCTGTTTACTGAGTGATAGAGGTAAGTGTTGCAGTGTATGCCAGGCCTTACCTAACTAAGTAGGTGACGTAAGTCACTGTCATCAGAGAAGACTGCAAGGGAATGTCACTGTCAGTAGCTCTTTGTGAAGAACTTGCAAATCCTGTGATCACTACTAATCTGCTTAAAGCTAGACTTGCCTGTTGACTTGTCCTGCATCTTTCAGGCCTTCATGATCATTCTAAGATTTTATACATATACAGTTGATGGAAGGTAATATTTTCATCACTGGTAGCTGAAGATGTTTGTTAAATGGTCGTAAGAATTTACAAATTCAAGCCTCAGTAACAGAGCAGTTCTTCTTCCAGCCTTTGAGGTTATTCTAATAATATGAGCATAATGGCAAAGCATGCCTTGTTTCTGTAAGTGATAGAAAATTATTGTAGGTACAGTCCAGTAGAGCAATGTCAACACACCTTATCGTAGGTTAACCAAAGTAGAGATATAGCACAAGCTTTCATGAGCCGAAGCTCACTTCATCCAATGCTTTATCTCAAAAGCTTGTGAGATGTCTACAGCACGCGTAGATACAGGTATATCTACTGTGGTTAGTCCTGTAAAATACAAATCTGCGCTGCTTTCTACTTGACTTCAAACTAACATAGCTAACTGTCTCTCTCCACCATTGTATCGTGTCAGCGGGAGTAAAGGCCGTGGTTCGATCCCAAGTAGGGTCCAGATATCTGTTCCAAGGGTACAGATACCCTTGGTTTCTCCTGTTCTCTGTGGCACGTGGTAGGTTTTGAGGCTGTTTCTCTGTGTCCTCCCCTGGTCAGCATAGTTCTCTGTCAAGGTGTTGCTGGTGCTGGTGCTGTAGCCAGTGTGTGTTGTTTCAGAGTCCTCAGATGTTACACACGCAATGGCGGCATGGGTTGGTTCACTGGCAAAAGCTCGGCCAGGTTTATTACCTACAAAGCACCAGCTCATGCACTTGGCCAGAGGGTTATAAGGTGTTAGCCCCAATGCTTGTGGTAAAGCACAGGTGCGACTCACAATTGCTTGCGTCCCATAAGTCTAACACAAATCCCAAAGATTTCAGTTCTTTACACATGGATCAAACAAGTCTGCGGGTTTATGCAATAAACCCCAGCACCTCTTCCAGACTACCCTAAGCCTCAGACCTCCTGCTACTAGCAGGTGTGTTCTCAATTCTTTAGCACCACCCTTATCAATCTGCCTTAAACACCCCGCTGTCTTGTCAAGTCGAGTCTCACAGGCGTCCTGGTGGTGTGAGGTCAGCCTTTGGAGAGGCCTGCTTTAGTCAGTGCTCTAGCAAAGCCCTCATGTGAGCTGTATATGCATTAATGAATGCTAATATTAATCAGTACTCCAGTGAGGCCTACAGAGGCCATTGGACTTCGTACTCCATGTCCTGGTTTGTTATAGGACGCTGGGGCTCACTTTGTGTATGTAGGAAGGGCCGGTGTGGGTGGCATTATTGACTATTTGAGCATTAATCATGAAATCATACCATCGTAGAAGATGAGGGTTGGAAGGGACTTCAGGAGGTTGCATCGAGTCCAACCTTCTGCTCAAAACAGGACCAGCCCCAGCTAGATCATCCCCATGTTGAGCTGATCCTTAAAAACCTCCAAGGATGGTGATTCCACCACCTCGTTAGGTAACTTGTTCCAGGGTTAACTACCCTCCTGGTGACAAAGTGACTCAACTTCCCTTGCTGCAACTTGAGACCAGTAAAATATCTAGTAGATAGTTGTTTGCGAATGCAGGGGACTGGAAAGGACAACTTGGGTCATCCAGTCCAGTCCTGTGTGTTGGCGTTCAGCAGAAAGGCAACTGGAAAACTGTCAGGAGCTCATCTCAAGGAACCAGGGTAACACAGTGATCTACATAAACAGC